GTTCTTTTTAAAATCTTTAGGCCTTCTATCCATCAAGGAGTATTCCCAGAACAATTAAAAATTGGAAAAATTAATCCTATAATAATTTTTTTCGCTTGTTTCTTAATTTTTTCAAAAAGGTTTTTATAACTTTAGTTTTATTGTATTTATTGTCTTTTGTTTTAATTTTATTATATTTTTTGTAGAGTTTTTGTTTTTTATTGGAAGATTTGATGAGACTTTTTCAAATCTTTTTCAGGTTTTTGAGCTTTACTTTATTTTTTCATACGCACTACTGAATTCACAGGTAAAAAGTTTATAAGCTCTATTTACGTCTTGTAGGTTACCAGTTTATTACCGATAAGTGACTGCAAAATATTTTAATGCTATTATTATTCATTTCCCATTTTGTTATGCTTTTTTTTTGTTTAATATCTTGTTTGATTTTTCTTTGTATGCTCAATTAGCGGTAAAAAAGATTGGGAAATGATCAATTTTAATGATTCCACTTTGAGTGTTACATTTCAAAATTGAATTGTTAATAAAGATATTGCCTTTTAGTGTTTTAGTTTGATGAGTAACATAAGTTGGTTATTATTTTAATAATAAAATACTATGTTATGTTGATAAAGAATATTTATAAAACATTTACGTTATTACCAGTTTTTATGTATAAAAGGTTTATATTAAAGTCCCCCATTAAGTATAGTTGTTTATTTCTTACAGTTTCTAAATACTGTTCAAATATTTTTCAAATAATTTTATGTTACCACTATGTGGTCTATATATCGCTGTTATAAAAATGTTTTGAACGTTTTTCTTATTATTAATTAGTTATAATGTTAATGATTCATGTTCTAAATTATGATTGCCATTTTCTGTTGTTTTTTTTTAATTGCAGTGTATTATGGATAAAAAAATATTACGCCATTCCACTACCTCAGGTTGGATGAATTAACGTGTACAATTGAAGATTTGAATTATTGAAATTTTGACAATTCGTAGTTTACCTTTCCTAACATAGATTTAAAATTTTCAATTTTTTTTTTAAATGATGTAAATAATGGTTGCCTAGAGCAGACATAACAAGATACCTCCTCAACATTAAAGTAACAAGACTCAATTTCAATATCCTCAAAAAGTGACAATCTCTCCTTTTTACTTTCTTCAAACAATTTCTTCCTTATAATTACCGTCTCTCAAAAACAGTCTTCATTGATACAGATGTTTAGTCCCTTTAGACGATGAGCTACTTTTACAATTATAACTTTATCTTTATATCTTAGTTATTTCATTATTATCAGGGGCGGGTTTAGCTTTTTAAAGAGGTTGGTCAAAAAAATCGGTTGCGGATTTCCCAACCCGCTTTTCCGCGGAAGAACGGGGGGAAGGGGGTGAAATACAAATAGAGTTAAAAATAAAAGCACCTACCCCATTTTTTGAATAAATAAGTTATTTACAAAGCTTTCAAAAAAAGCGGCTGAAATAATGTTGCATATTACCATTATAAAGCAATAATTATTTTCACTTTTCATTTAAAAGATAGACCCAAAACACACTACTATAATAGTTACATATTACTAAATTACAAATTTAATACACAGTAAGATTAATTTATTATTAAATATTATTAACACATTTTTTTCTAAGTATGTAATTTTTTAACTTAAAAAGTAACAAGTGAAAAGTGCTCTCTGCTTTTTTCAAGTTATTAAACGATCAAATATTGCTCTGCACTTAAAGATATACTAAAGATATTGCTATAATAAAATAAAGTTATATATATATATATATATATATATATATATATATATATATATATATATATATATATATATATATATATATATATATATATATATATATATATAGTATTAAAAATAGCAAGGGTCCATTAAATGTAAAAAAAAAAAAAAATATTGACTCTGGTATTTAAATTTTATAACTATAATTAATCGTTCTTGGTCGCAATTCTCTTTTGTAGCCTGTGCGATGTGCTCAATCAATTTCCACATCATCGACTTCCAAAGTTTTGATAATAGTTTTAAAACGTCTTCAGTCTCATCCCAGTTTTTTTCATACTTTCAATAATACCTTCTATCCTAAGGTCATTTTGTCTTGATTCTTCATCTAATATTTTATTTAAAAAAAACATCATTTTTTCCTCCTGTTTTTAGTAGCTAAATTTATTATAAAAGTAATCTTATTAGGTCAATAAGGTCCTTTTTTGACTCTACCCCAGCCCCTTGTCAAAAAATTTATGTTCCTCCCACTCCCCTCTATTTTATTGACATAGTTAGTAGACAGCTTTTCGGGAGACGCATTAATTTGTGTAATTTGTAAAAAATAGTAGTAACAAAATAATATTTTTTCTGAAAAAATACAGAAGATATGTCAACCAATTTTGAAACTGCAACAAACATAATGCCTCAAATATGAAAAAATTATGAAAAAAAAAATTTATTTCAATATTGAGTATCAAAAATCTAAAAAAACTTGCAATCAATTTAAAAAAAAAAAACAGAAAAAAATTATTTACAATCTAAATTATACAGCCTAGTTTTTATTTTTGCTGTGACAATAAACTAATTTTTTATTAATAGTTTATACGAAATTTCATATTATTAATTTTACTACCTTAAATATTTAAAGTGTACTTTAAAATATATTTATAATTTTAAACATATTAGAGCCAATCTACTTATTTTAAATTTTTAAACTTTTTTTTTGTCTTATTTCCTAAAAAATTTTAAAACTATTTTCTTCAGAATTATCATAATAATTGCCATTGTTTTTTTCTTTTGTTTTGAAATAAAGAGGCATTAAAATTAAACTTTTTTCATTTTTATTACATTTTTCACCTACCTTAGATTTTAGCAGTTATTAAATGCTAATTAAAACCAGGAACTTTTTTTACGCAAATATATAGCAATTATTTACAGTTAAATTGTAAAAGTACAGCAATTATTTACAGTTAAATCGTAAAGGGCTGTCCATTAGTTACGTCAACAAATTTTTTGAAATTTTTACCTCCCCCTTACTCCTATCAACAATTTGTCAAATTTCCAGAGGTCCTTCTTATAAAATTACGTCAATTTTTGATTTTTACTTAAATAACGGAAAATTTGTAGCAATTCTTTGAATAGGGGGGGGGGCCCTATTCAAAGAATTGCTACAAATTTTCCGTTATTTAAGTAAAAACTCAAAAAAAAAATTGTTGACATCAACTTTAATAGACCTCCCCTCTCCCACTTTTCAACAATTGTCAAAAAAGTTCAGACCCCTCCCCTCTATTTTGTTGACGTAATTAATGGACAACCCCTAACTAAGGTTTTCGCTCAATCGTTTTTACATATAAAACCTTGGAAGTATAAAACAGATGGAAGTTCAACCGCATTGAAATTCTTCGGAACTATGCTTGTAACCTTTGTTTCGTAAACAATAAGAAAACGACATCAAGACTGTACTTAAACGCTTAATTTTTAAACGTTGACGCAAATAGATACGTTTATAATAATTTAAAAATATAGTATTTTGAAGGTTCGCCAATAATATTCAAGAAAAACATTAAAAATGGCGACGTAACGGCAAACAACAACTTTTTTATAAACTTTATATCAAATGAATGGAGTACTACAAGAATGAATGGAGTTATCATATACAGCTAATAAAACTTTAAACTTTAGTAACTTAAAAAACATTTTTTTGTTGTTTGTTCTGTTTTAGTTGTCTTTTTTATCAAACGTCGTGTTATGACTTGAAGCAAGAAAAGAAGCTTAAACTAACATATGCTTTTAAAATCAAGTGGTTCTATTTAATTACCGAGTTTTAATAAACCTTTTGTTGAATAATTGCAAATACTAATGGTTAAAAATTTGCAACATATCCCTAGAATAAATCATTTTTTAATGTTTTAATGTAATAAAGATCATTTCAATGAGTTTTGTTGTTTTTTTACCCAGTGAAACTTGTTTTTTTTAATTGTCGGTTACAAGCATACTCCCGAGACGACTTGAAATTGCTTTGATGTTTGCGGCCCGATGAACTTCCATCTGTTTTATACTTCCATGATAAAACCAAAATCATAAAACGCAATCTCTGACCTCTGTCGTTATGACTATGATAAAACTAACAATATTGCCAACATATATATATGTCTGGCTTTCACATGTAATGGTCCTGCAGTCTTTGTAGTGCAAAACATAAAATTGAACGAGAAGTTACCAAAAACAGTCAAAGACAAAACTTCTAAAATTGAGTAATGTCAACATGGAATGCTTTGTCTGCTTCAATAGTTGCTGCTAATTTGCTCAACGAGTATATATTACTTACTCACAATTAAACGAGTATATATTAAACGAGTATATATTACTTATTCATAATTAAAGGATAAATCATATAAATATGATATGGTATATATTGTAGATATTTATCATCAAAGTAAACTTATTTGTTTACGCTTGTTTTAATTAAATTTCATTTTTTTTATTATTTTCAATATAACAAAAAATTCCTCCGACAGCAGTTTTAACTGTAGGGTATAACAAAGATGGATTTTGGCGTTAATAGCTTTACAATAACTAAATTTGCTCCTGCCGTTTACCAAATGGAGGACATAAATATACGAGTTTATTTTAACGCTGGCGTTAAAAACTGCCGTATTATTTTTAATCAGTCGAAGGCTAGTCGCAGGGTTTATTGAAGAGAAGAGAATACGACTGTAGAGCTAAATAAAAATTTTGCTTTTTTTTTATCGAATTAAAATTGTCTTAAAATTGCTTTAAATGTTGCATAGTTATTGTATATTATAAATTTATTACATGTAATGAGTTTTTGATTCAAATAAAAAAAAGTTATGCGAAAAAAAAAAGAAAAACAAACCATAATCACAATTTTTAAAAAAGTTCTAAAGAATAAAAATAAAAAAGAATATTTAAATAAACAAGAATGAAACCTAAAAGTAAGACATGTTTATATTACACATGAATAAATAAAATAGATGGGTTGAAATAATCAAATGTTTATAAAAGAGTATTTGGAGGAACAACTATAACAGGAACTTCGGAATGATGAAGTACATAGTCACTAGTGCTGCCTAATAAGGTTCTTGACCATTCTCCTAAACCTCTTTGTCCCATTACTATTATTTCTGCGGCTTTGTTCCTCGCTAACTCACAAATCATACAACCGACAGGTTTTGCGTTATCATCCACAACCGCCTCAGTGTATTCAATATCATTTTCTTTGCAAAGACATCTGAACTTCTCGATAATATTTTCACTGTCTTTAATACTTTCATCTATTTGATTTCGGTTTTCTTCGCTTGATGGACAGTAACCAGATAAAATTGCTGTTATTGGCAATTGAGGCATCTGGTGTATATGTAGTAGTATTAAGGTATCACCTTTTCGATGGTAATTATTTGCGTACCATTCAAATGCAAGCTCGCAAGGTTTACTGCCATCAATAGCTAAACAATTCATTCTGCCAGTTTCCATTTTCTTTTCAGTTTCCATTTTTATAAACCTCTTTTTATTACTTTACATTTTAAAAAATAATTTTTTATAATTGTTAATAATATTATCAAAAAAGTAGTGTAATTATAAATAAAAAATAAAGCAAGTAAACATAATGGTTAAATTTTGTTTATATACCCGTATTAGTCCATTAACGGTAACAGTAAGTATATGTACGTGTAATGTTTAATATAGTATTAAAATTATTTTTCTGGGTTAGAATTTTTTTTATTGTCACCTACGAGAAACAGAAAACTTTATAACCAAATGTAATAATAGATTTACCTCCTCCATATTCGATTTTTATTACTTTGTTTAATTTGAACGGATATTTTTTCGAAGATTAATGCACGATGAAGAGTTGCCAAACTTGAGTATTTTTTTAAGCTACATTAACGTCATTAACGTCATTAACGTCGTAAATTATGTGGTTATTGCCATTTAATGGCGTTTTTGATAAAAGCACTTTTTTTTTAAATCATTTTCCTTATTTTTATTATTATTATTGATATTATTATTGTTGTTATTATTATAGTTATTGTTATTATCATTATTATTATTATTATTGTTATTATTATTGTAGTTATTTTATGTTTTTTATATATTTAGAATGTTCGGTTCCGAAAATAACCCGCACTTATTCTTGCAATACTTTCTTAAAATAGCCGTTGTTTTTAAATTGTGGTACGGAAGGAGCTTAATGACGTATTAAAATACTATTACGAAAAAGTAGCTAATTAAAAAAATATTAATTATAAAAAATAATAATTTAAAGAATCAAGTTATATTTTCAAATACTTTCAAATAACTAGGAATACTTTTAGCATAATTTATAAATTTGTTTTTTATTTTAATCAGAAAGGAGCTCCAAAAAGTCTTTACGATTTTATCACAGAGCATCGCTGATTTTATAATTTTAGCAATAAACTAATGACTACGCCATAAAAACAAACAATAATTGTTTTAAACCAATAAAAGTTGTAAAATTAAATAGTAGAAAAGTAACTCATTACTGAAATAATTTATTACTACTACTCGGTGTAGTTAAAGTAATTTACAAATTAATCGAATTCTTTTATTCAAAATTAGCATGATTTTATAAGCGCATTATGTCCAAATATAAGCTTTAGATGTTACATTTTTTTTTGCTTTAGGTTTTTTTAATATTTGAAGAAACTTTTCTTTTTTTTTTATATTTTTCAAAACAAATATTTAGATCACTTTCGCTCATCGGCGTTAACGTTAATTTAGTTAAAATCTTTTAAAAAAGTGCCTTAATTTACTATAGATCCTAGTTCTAATCGGTTCTGACGTAGATTAACTAAATATAGTTGTCCAAATATAACATTTCTATCAATTTTTACAAAAAAATACTAGAATTTTGACCAAGAAAGAATTTATAATTAAGAAAAAGCGCCAATAAACAATCAAAACATATCATATTTTTAAACTATGATGTTAATTTTACCTAAAAAACGTATTTATTTATATCTTATTCAAATTTAAACAAAGGATTGGGATTTTAAGAAGATTTTTTTTTTTAAAAAAGAATCTTCCGTCTGGGTTTTTCGCTACAAACATTTATATATTACTAGCAGTAAGTAACCCGTTGTTAGTAAATAAAATTAAAAAAAATAATTCTTCTATATTAAATCTTGCCTAGACTTATTGTTTTTAATTGACCTTAGAATGAAAGAAAAAATGTACTAGTTTCAATTTTTTCGGTGTTAGTTGAAAAAAAATTTGAAAAAATGTACTAGTTTCAAACTTGTCGGTGTCAGCGGCGATTCATAGCTTAATTGAACTAAAGAACTAGCCTTTTTAATTCAAGCAATTTTCTCTATTTTGTCAAATCAAGGATTTAAATATTTAGCTGCGTACAACTTTTCAATTTTGAGAAAATTTTCTCTTTTTTAATTAAAATTTTTTTAGAATTCGGTAGCGAGATTCATAATTGTACGATTATTTGATTCACTTTTAAATTTAGCAAATTAATTATTTAATTTATAAACGGCCGGTAATATATTTAAACAAATGGTATATTGTGATCCATTTAAAATTTTTATATATTATTATTTAACACAACACAACTAACTAGCTGAGCAGAAAACTATGTTTAAAAAAGCTAACCAGTTTTCTATATTTCTTTAAAATCATAATGTAATAATGGTTTTCTTTAACAATTAAATTTGATATATGACAAAAACAAGGTTTGTATAAATATTAATTAGGTCTTTTAGACAATGTTTGATATTCGCAGCAATGTTGTTACTTGTTGTAAGCGTTTTATCAATTTTGCATTTATTTAGAATTAAGTTGATTTGCTCTTATAAATATTGGCTAGAATGAGCTTTTAGGTTATGCTTTGATGCAATGCAAATCAATTTCAAAAAAAAATTGATGCATTGATTCAAAAAATGTTAATACTGGATGGAATAAAGGTGTCATACAATTTGACTTAACTGACTTATATACGCTTTTCATACTTATGAAATACCCCTCAGAAATCTAATAATTAAATCAGAGGGAAAAATATTTTTAAACAATAAGTGATCGGGTGATTTAAAAAAAAAGGGTTTTATTTCTGACTGATATTTAAGTTTGAATGAGAAACCCGATTTTAAGAATGCATCCTGATAGGGAGAAACCTTATTCCTATATGGTAGAGAGAAACCCTAATATTACTAGAAGGATGCATTGCTAAAATCGGAGTTTCTCATCCAATCTCAAATATCAGCCAGAAATAAAACTCATTCAAAACAAAAATCACAAAGGGAACATTATTTGGTAAAATTCCCCATATAGTAAAAATGTTGCAACAAAGATTTATCTAGGTATTCTTTTTATCTAGTAATCAAAGTTTTATTTAGGTAATCTTTTTTAAAAAATAATGGATGCAAGCTTTCCTGTTGGTCATTTATTACATAAGACTTTTAACAGAAACACCATTAAAATTAGCTACTCGTGTATGCCAAACGTTAAGTCAGTCATCAATTCGCATAATCAAAATATTTTATACAATCATAAAAAAACAGCAACAAAAACCTGGAACTGCATCAATAAATATACCTGCATTATGAACAACCAGTGTCTAAGTAAGAATATTGTATATCAAGCTACTGTTTCATCCAATAAACCAGATTTCACAGATAAAGTTTATATAGGTATTAGTGAAACCCCTTTCAAGTTAAGGTATGCAAACCATTTAAAATCTTTTAATTTAATTAAGTACAGAAATCATATGGAATTATCTGAAGAACTTTTATATCGCTCTATTTAGAAAGTTGTATACTTTGTTTATTATTGAGCACTCATGTGTGTGTATATATATATATATATATATATATATATATATATATATATATATATATATATATATATATATATATATATATATATATATATATACATTTGTATAGATTTCGGTATATAGAATATATTCGAGGTTAAGTATTTTGATGTAATAATACGAAGTCTCTTGTACGTGTTACAGTGCTCAATATTACTGAATAATAGAGCTATATATAATTATATTTAGATGAATAAAAACAACTGATTAGCGGGACTTAAAGTTTCATGCCCGAAGGCAATCATCAGCCGTTAATACCGGCTATTATTCAGTCAGCCGGTATTAACGGCTGATGATTGCCTTCGGGCATAAAACTTTAAGTCCCGCTAATCAGTTGTTTTTATTCATCTAAATATAATTATATATATATATATATATATATATATATATATATATATATATATATATATATATATATATATATATATATATATATATATATATATATATATATATATATATATATATATATATATATATATGCACACATACACACACATATATACATACATTTTTGAATATAAATACTTCCTTTAATAACAAAATATGTTTTAAAAAAAAAAATTATCAGTTTGTATTCAGTTTTGAAAGATAAAAAAAAAAAATAAAAAGAATTAGCAGACAAAAAAGAAATTAAACAAATTTAATTTCAATACGCATAAATATGTTAGTACATGATTTGCTTTATAGGGAATACATAGTTGTTCACATATTTGTAAATAAGCATTTAGTTTAGTAGTATTTTTTCTTTTTTAGTGTTTTTATTGTATTGTTTTGGTACAAAGTTAGTTTATACGGTAATTTTAAGATTTTTGGATTAATAAAAATTCATATCATTATCTGTGTTTAAGCTTAAACATCTTACCTGTGTTTAAGCTTAAAATCTTACCTAGGTAAGATTTTTTAGTAAAGTTTTCATAGAATTTAAGTTATTCGATTTTTCCAGTTGAGTATTTTTAGTTATTAATTTGTTGTATAGATAAGGACCACGGTATGAAATAAAATAGCGCCATAGACTTGTTTTTTTACAAGTAACGTTGAAGTTATTTGTTCCTCTTGTGTCATCCATTTTTGTTATATCGGAAGAAATTCCTAGAAAAATAAGAAGAAGTCCAATGCTTTCAAGTTTTTTAATAGTGGCTCAGCAGGCGAGAGTCTATCCTTATTATAAGCTATTCTTAAAGAATGTTTTTATTTTCGATAAAGTGTGGACAATTTGGATTTGTGAGTACTCGCCTATGCAACATCAGCGTATATATAGAAGCTTTGTATGAACGAGAAAAATAGGAATTTAAAATTTTCAGGAGACAGTGTAAAACTAGCTTTGTAGAGGTCTCCAATGTTTTTGATATTTTGGAATTTAATATATCTATATGCGCTTTTCACGATACGTTCTCATCAATAAGTATTCCAAGAAATTTATTAGCTTGGGTTCTCTCAATTTCTTTAGTATCTATATTTAACGAAAGTAAACTAGGTGGTATTTTTTTAGGTTACAATGAAAAAGAATGTCTTGTTTGTTTAGCGATAGTTTGTTTGATTTAAAACAATATTTTATTTTTTCAAGTTCAGTATTTGTAGTTTCATAAAGTTCTGTTATAAATGAAGATGCATAAACTAAATTAGTATCATCTGCAAACATTATGACATCTAATTTACTTGAAGTTTTAGGGAGATTGTTAATGTATATTAAAAATAAGAGAGACGCAAGAATGGAACCTTGGGGGACACCGCATTTTATTTTAAGTAATTTCGAGTGTTTTTTTTTTCATGAACGTTAACGCATTTCTGTTAAGTAAAATACTTTTGAACCATTTAAGAACATGATTTTTTATCCCATATTTTTCCATTTTCCCAATTAGGATGGCTTGATCCACTGTGTCGACCGCCTTAGGTAAATCAATAAAGACTCCATGGACGTATTTTTTGTTTTTAAAGGAGTCATTTATATTAATTATATGATCAAGAATTGCATGTTCAGTTAAATGTTGCTTCAGGAAACCAAACTGTTTTTCATTTAAGATAATATTATTTACTAGATATTTATATAGTTTATTGTATATTTTTCTCTCCAAAAGTTTTGAAAATACAGGATGAACTGAAATAGGTCTGTAGTTATTTAGTGTAAATCAGTCTCCGGTTTTTAATATTGGTATTACCTTTAGTATTTTTAATTTATCCGGCACAGATATTTCATAGAAGGGTTGGTTTATCACCGGAAACACATTATAACGTTATTTCGACAATAACGTTACATGTAACGTTATTAATCAAATAACGTTATGTCAAAATAATGCTAAATCTAATGTTTTTTACAATAACAATACAATACCATAACATAGCGTTAATTCAACGATGCAAAAGAAAAAAAAAAAAAAAAAAAAAAGATAATAAATTTCTATTCCTTGTAGCGGAGAGTATTAAATGAAACAAAAATTAATACAAAAACTGAAAAGTTAAAAAATATTTTTATATTTTAATTAAAGAATTCTAGTATGTAAACAAACAATAATTTTAGAAAATTTTAATTATTTTATTAAAAAAAGCAAATAGCTTCAATTAAAGAATTTTAGCATGTAATTAAATTAAATATATATACTTTTTTAATAGCAAAATTTATTTTAGGGAAAGAAGTCAAACCCCTAAGAATCTGAAGCTTTACATTTCTATGAGTACATTATTTGAAAATAGTTTTGTGAATTAGTTGAGCAAAAGTTATACAAATTTAAATTGCAAATGATAACTACTTATATAACCTTATTTTTCCAAAAACTAGGTCTAATAAAAAACTCACGGGACTTAGATCTTTAAAAAGTTTTTTTTATTAAAAAGTAAAGAGAAAAAACTATAGAGAATCTTTGGCTAAACCAAGAGTTAGATAACAAAGATTAAAAAAAAAGATATCAATAAAGAATTTTTATTTGACCTGTGCTAGCACTATTTAGGTATTTATAAAAGACCACTACAGACTAGACACTGCAGGTTCTAACATAAATGTTTGAGCTGAAGTTAACAAAGACATAAATCCACAATAATATATATTTATCCAGGCGTAGGAACAAAATCTATATGGGGGAAAGATGGGGGCAGTACTACCCTGAAATAGTTTTAAGAACCTTTTTTTGTCATTTTTCAGTCAATTTCTTCAAAATAATTTATTTTAAAAATAAGTAGATGGGGGGGGGGGGGGAAGGGGCAAATGCCCCTGCTGCCTACCTGTTTGCTACGGGCCTGTTATCTAACTCCATCCCTTCTTTTTTCAATATCAATTTTTCAAAAAAAAAAAAAAGGAAAAAAATTAATATTAATAAAAAAAATACATTGCTGCCTTAATCCAAAACCTCAGCCTCCCTTGTAGCAGCAAATCCCTTGAATTATTTTCCTTAACCAATCGATAAATGTACTCAAGTCCTCACAGTTACCTAAACCAGTGTAATGTCAGGTTGCCAATCTAAATGTGCTTTTATATTTTTATGTATATTATACACACATAAATATAATATATCAAAATAAACAATAAGTCATTTGACTTGAGTAATAATAAATATTGACAAAATAACAATAAATATTGAAAAACTTAAAAAGTTTTTTATAAAATATCTTGAATGATCTGAAATACAAAACTATCTTATTTTAAGAATTTTTAATTTAAGAAAGTAAATAAACTTAAAATTATTTTTTTAGAAACTTTTATAAACAAATAAAAATAGAAACAAAACTCAAACAAATAAACTAAATAATAAAAAAAATTAATAAGACAAGGAATTTATTAAAACCTTTAAAATCATATAAACAAATTTCAGCATTCATAAATTGGAATGTAAAATTTATCTTTAAATGGTGATATGTATTGAATCCCTACATCAGCAAAAATGCCTTTGGGAATACCAACATCTGCCAAAAAAATACGACTACTTTTTGGTAAATTAATCATTGGTAAACCCATTGCCATTGTCCATTTTATATCAGGAGCTTCTAAGGATGACTGAACCAAGCAAGGGTCAATTGCTAACAATGGTGCCTTGTTTTGATTAGCCCACGAGATAGCATACGGAAGCCAATCAAAGTTTTTTGAATTGCTTTCTAGTCCCACCATTGCATCTATAACCAAATCAACAGGCTTTGTAGGTAAATCTTTATAAGAATGAATAACCTTTCCTCCTGATTTAAGAAATAAGTCTAGTTGAGATTTTATATTAGGAGTTTTTTCTGGTAAATAAAGAACAACTTTTACAGTATGGTTAACTAAATGTCTAGCAGTACATATAGCTTGCATACCTTGTGTGTGAGAACCAGCTAAAACAACAATAAGAGGTCGCTGGTGGTTATTATTGGGATTTATACGAAGAGATCCACCTACCAGTTGAAGAGTCATTTGACATACACATATACCAGCATTTTCAATAATTTGCTGGATAGTGAGACCTGCATTTACTGCCTCTGCAAAAAGTTTTTTTTTTAAAGCTTGTGTTATCGCTGGGACAATGAATCCATCTTCAGTTGAATATTCTTTTCCTGCATGTTCTAATGGTACTTTGATATGTCTTAAAGATAAAGGTTGACTCTCAAGAATGTTTTCCTGACATTTCATTTTTTTATCATAACTAGGTATCCCATTAGGAAGAGATTCTTCAGAGTTTTGAATCATTTGCTCATATACTGCACGTTTATCAAATTTAGCTAAATTTTTTTCAAAATCAAAATCAGGGTAAAGTTCGACTTGATCCAAATTCAAACTTTGGGACTTCAACTTTTCTTTTTTGTACAAAGAGAAATTTTTATTCGAGTCTCTTGGAATTTTGTTATTTTGCCCATTCATTTCAAAACATTTTGATTGTTTAGGTTCATCGGTTACTTTTATTTTTTCGCGTAGTATTTTCAAATTTTGAATGTGATTACGAGTTAGTGTTATTCTGGGAAACTTCAAGCTTGTTCCATCAGGAAACAACTGATGAGCATGAATAAGTGTTATTAACTGTTTTGAAAAATCAATATGACTTACTTCACCTTCATAAACACTGTTATTACTGCAAGATAGAGAAATATAGAAGCCAATAAACGAATTCGCATTTTTATCCTCCATACCACTTGTCGATTACAGTTTATGGTCAACTTCATATAAAAACTATTTATTTTTAATTTCTTTGCAACATTTTTTTTATGAAGGTTTGAAGAAATTATGCTAGCGAACTAAAAAAGATAGCAAAAAAAATAATTTGAAATGACTAAAACTTCAACTATGCGTTCAAATAATCAGAGCAAAAAATCTTCATTTTTCTCTAAAAAACTGCTCCAAAAACATTAAGAAAAAGTAAAACTTGTCATATAAGCGCTTGTAACATTAAAAAAATATTTTTATGACGTAATCAAGTCTATTTAAGACGAGTTCCGCTCTTTTTAATTATAAAAAATCTCTTTGTATATAATTACGATTCCCAGCTATAATTACCGCCTGCACTTAAAAAAAATTTTCTGACTTGAAATTTCTATGTTTAAGAACCAAAATTAAATACAAAAATGGCAGCCCGTTGTAACGGTAACTATACTAGATTTATATAATTTAACGACTTTTACATTTTGGTTTGATTTGTTTTGCAATTTTAATATTTTAAAAGAGATGCATTTGTCATTTAAACTCGGGCAATAATCACACTTTTTTGTTACGTTATTTATTCATATTAATTGATAATTAAAAAATCCTTGAAAAATAAGAAACTTTTTTAGTAATAAGAAATCTTATTACGTCAAGGATTTTTTAACGTTCAAATATAATGACTATATAAAACTTGTAACCCCCTCAAATTGAGGTAGGTTCAAACTTTATATAGACATAATTTTTGAATGCTTAAAGATTATCGCATAAAATTTAAATTTTATCGATGAATTTAAATTTAGTTGGGATAACCATTAACAAAAATAGTTATATAAGCTTGTTTTCTCGCACGTAAATATAATTGTTTTGAGTTTGTTCTAGGTCTGGAAGCTAGCTGTCTTAAACTGCAAAAAAACTCACCACTGCTTCTTACAAATACTTTGTATACTTTCCTAAGAATACTTTTCTATGAAATAATTTCCCTTACATAGGGAACATTGTTACATCGCATGTTAACATTAATACATAAAGAGAAATTTCATCCTAAATAATTGTATATTCAAGGAAAAATAAAAACCAAAATTTAAAATTCAACAAAGTATTATATAAACATAACAACAAAATGTAAACATGAAAAGAAAACAACACATGCAAGTATTTATTTTCAATTGCACATTGAATAATCAATGTTTTATCGTTACAAAAGAACCATCAATCTGAGATAGAAAAGTCAATCTCCAAACTTATAGTTTTATTTTTTTGATTTGGATACATTTTTAAGTTTTTGCTTTAAAAGCCTTACAATCGATCCTCTTCAACTCTTTAGACTTTCCACATTTTGGCTTTGGGGAACGGTAGGATTATTTTTAGAGTTAATGATTTTTTTGGATGTTTCTAGAATGTTATGTATACCTGATTTTAATGATTCTACTTTATCTGTTGTAACAACAAAAGTAGGAAAAGAATTAAAATGACAATGGATAAATGAGAAATATAAGAGTTTTAAATATAGTGGATTTACAAAAGTTTCGCCCTATAAATCAGGCCGATGCTCTTTGAAACTTTATCTTCTAGATGCTTTATATGACCTCTATATTAAATTTTTGTTAAGAAGGATACCAAGAATTTTTAGCTAGGCTTCTCTTTCTATATCGCAATCCTCAATGCGTTTATGATAGCAATAGAAAAAAGTAAAATTTTTCTTTAATTTAATTTAATGACAATTTTAAAATCTAAGCCATTTCGCAAGACTTTTTAGTTTTATATTTAACTATTTAAACAGTATTTTTATATCATTATGAGCATAAAAAAGATTTTTTTCTGTACTACACCTAACTTTTTGTATCATCTATTGTAGTTTTCCGACAAAGAAAAAACTAAAAACCACCATTGATAGCTACTAAAGTAGCTATCAATGGTGGTTTGTCATACAAAAAAGCATTAGTTATTCACAGGGTGCCAGTTAGCACTTTGTATTACAAGATTAAAAATTTAATCCGAAAACACCTGGAAAATCAACAGTTTTAACAAATACACAAGAACTAGCAATTGTACAACATGTTATTGCTGTTGCTGCTTGGGGTTTTCCTATTGATATCATGGATCTTTGTGTTTTAGTCAATTTCGGATATCGAGGGCAGAATTGTTCCTGATTTTTACAATAACTTTCCTGAAAAAGAGTGGGCTCTTTGTGTTTCAAAAAGTCAATGCTTGTGTTTCAAAAAGTCAATGCTGATCTTACTCAGCGAATGAGTCAGAATATCAAAAAATCTCGGGCATCGGTTTCATCTTCTGAAGTTAACAAATTCTTTGATAATTTGAAAACTGCATTAAAGTATGATAAAGAGAAGTAAATTCCTTCTTGTAATATCTTTAACTACGATGAAACCAATTTGTCAGATAATCCTGGAACCAAACGATGTATATTTAAAAAAGGGGTGAAGTATCCTGAATGTATTCAAAACAGTAGTAAGAGTGCTACATCAATCATGTTTTGTGGTTCAGCCTCTGGTCAAATGGTACCTGCTTTTATTGCTTATAAAGCTGACCATCTATGGACAACATAGACAAAAGGGGGACCACCTAATATACGACATAATCAAAGTCAGAATGGTTTGATTCTGTTTGCTTTTCTGACTGGTTTATGACCATTTTCGTCAGATTTGTATAAGATCTTCCAGGAACTAAAGTTCTTATTGGCGATAATCTAAGCAGCCATTTTAGTGAAAAAACACTTAAGTTAGCTGAAGATAATAATATTTAGTTTGTTTGCTCAATTGCACACTATATCCATTTATTGCAATCATTTGATGTTGCGTTTTATAGACCACTTAAAAGGTATTGGAAGAAAATACTGGATCAGTCGAAAACCTCGTGTTCGAAAAAAGCACAGACTATTACAAAAGATAAATTTCCCTCTTTATTGAAAACTTTGTATACTTATCTATATTCATCAAATCAAAAGGTAAGCAGCAGTTTAGTAGCTGGTTTTAAGGTGGTAGAGCACAATTAAAATACAAAATTTTGATCAAAATATGAAAAAATTTTATTTTAGTTTATTTTATTCAAAATTTTATCCTCTTTCTTTTGATGTATGTATGGAACAGAAATTGTTTTTTGAAATGTGATAAAAATCTACATTTGCAATATTTTTTACCTTAGCAACGCCCTAGCAACCACAAACATATCTTCTTTTATTATATATGTTGAACAAAATTGCAAGCTAATTTGTCTTTTTGTTATGTCTATCATGCTTAAAATGTTTGTTTATCAACTTTGCTTTTAAACAAATTCGAATGTTGAGAGTTTTGCTGTAGCACAAGTTCATGTTGTTATTGTTGTATTAGGCCCTATTGTTGTTAGTATTGTTTTAGAGATTTATTATCAACTATTAATAAATTATAAAGTCTATCGTAAATAATAAATAGGAAAGAAAATGAAATCTCAAAAAACAAATAAACAAAATGTTAGCAGAAGAAAAAAGAGAGCATGGAATGGCATAGTTCCAAAGAATGTTGAAGTTTTTGATAATTCTTGTATCAAATCTATATGTTCAAGTGAAAGGAAACTTTCTTCAAAAACAAAAACTAAATTTTCTACTAATTCTTCTCCACAAACAGAAGAATATTTTATTATTGTGCATTTTTATCTACTCAAAAGCATTTTTCAAACTCTTGTATGTCCAGAATGTTTTTGTAACATTGTTGTAAAAGATGATATTTTAAAACGACAAGGATTCTCTCATGTTCTAACAATAAACTGTAATAATTGTTTATGGAATAAAAGAATTAATACTTCCCCAGAGATAAAGAAGAAAGAGGAAACTAAAGGTCGAAATACATACGAGGTAAATGTACGTTTTGTAATAGCTTTCCGTGAAATTGGCTGTGGTTTTTCATCAATAAGTACGTTTGCATCTTTGATGAACTTTAAATGTTTGTCAAAAAATGGATTTTGTTGTATCAACAAAAAAGTTATGAAAGCTTATAAGAATGCTGCCACAGATAGCATGCAAACAGCAGCAAAGGAAGCTCCTCAAATTGAAACTGTCAAAGGTATTCCATGTGTTCGGATATCAATTGATGGATCATGGCAAAAGCGTGGTCATTCATCTTTGCATGGGGTGATTACTGCTATAGCAGCAGACAAATGTGTTGATATAGAAATAAAATCAAGACATTGCTATGGTTGCAGAATGTGGATAGGAAAAGAAAATACAGCTGAATATAATCATTGGAAAGTTAACCATTACTGCCAAATTAACCATAATGGGTCATCAGGTGCAATGGAATCAGCTGGAGCAGTTGACATATTTAAGCGTTCTGTTTTAAAGAACACTCTTATTTATAAGGAATACTTAGGAGATGGTGATACAAGTTCTTTTATGGATGTAGTAAAAGCCAACCCATATAGTGAATATGATATAATGCCAATAAAGTTGGAGTGCATTGCTCATGTCCAAAAACGATTAGGTACTCGATTGCGTAACATTGTCAAGTCTCATAAAGGCACTAAAACACCTCTCTCAGGAATAGGGAAGCTTACTGAAAGTTGCATTAACTCAATGCAAAATTACTTTGGTTGCGCCATTAGAAATAACCTTGATAATCTGTATGCAATGAAGAAAGCTGTTTATGCAATAGTTTTTCATTTTACAGATATTCCAAATCCTGAACGACATCAATTTTGTCCACGAAATGATTCATCTTGGTGCAAATATTGGACTCTAAGTAAAAGTTACAAACCAAATATATCTATTCCTCTATTCATCAAAAATCTCATTACACCCATTTTTATAGACTTACAGAAAGATGACTTGCTGTTGAAATGTTTGCATGGTCAAACACAAAATTCAAATGAAGCGCTCAACTCACTCATATGGTCCAAGGTACCCAAAACCACATTTGTTAGTAAAGATGTTGTGGAAATGGGTGTAAACTCTGCCATTTTACATTTCAATGATGATAGAAGTGGTGTATTTAAAGTATTACAGCATTTTAATATACAAGGAAATGTTACACAATTAACAACAAGTTTAGCAGATAATGTAAGAGTAAAACAGATGAAACGTAAGAATACTATTATGGCAAAAAAACAGAGAAAAAAACTGAGAGCAATAAAAAAAGGATTCAGTAAGAATCTTAAAGCAAAGGAACCTCAAGACTCATATGTTTCAGGAGGATTTTAACATGATTTTACTGTTTAAATGTGATTTTTTCTTTATTTTGTACT